ATTTTGGTGTTGCGGGACTTTCGGCATGCGCAAGACATCCCCCAGTGTGAAACCCATCATGCAGTCAATGAAATTGCGTCGGCTCTTATGGACTCCAGAATTCGCTTGAGCAGCTCCAGGATCTGGACTGGACCATGGGCGTTTTCTTGGAGCTTCATCTTGTCGTACAATTGTAATGTATCTGGGCCTGTACTGTTGTTTCAAAAAGAAACGCTCGGAGTGAAATCCACGCTCTTCTTAGCGCAATATTGCGCTAAGCGTGGGTGTATCCTCGATGCGACTGTGGCCGCTTGCTGTCCCCTGCCTCCCCGAGGAGGCCGTGCAGATCTACCGCGACGAGTCCTCGGGCCTGCCCCTGGGGCACGGCTTCTGCGACTTCTACGACGCGTCGCACGCGCTGCTGGCGGTGCAGCAGCTGCAAGGCCCGCCTGCCTCTCGGAGTTGGTTCTCCTCCTCGTCGCCTTTCGCTCTCGGAGCAGGTGGAGACGGAGAAGGAGGAGGAGGAGGAGGAGGAGGAGGTGGAGGAGGAAGGGGAGGAAGGGGATAAAAGGCAGGAGGTGGAGGAGGAGGAGGAGGGAGACCAGGAAAAGGAGGAGGAGGAAGGAGGAGAGGAGGAGGAGGAGGAGAGGAGGAAGTGCAGGGGGGAAGGGTAGGAGAAGGAGGAGGATGAGGAGGAGAAGGAGGGGAGAGGGAGGAGGAGGAGTGGGGGGGGAGAAAAAGGGCGGAGGACGAGGAACGGGAGCGGCGACCCGGTGGTCGAGGAGCTGGAGAAGGATGAGGAGGAGCAGGAGGATGAGGAGGAGGAGGAGGAGGGGCACTTCCTCCTCTCCTCCTCGTGCTGGTCTTGGTCCTCATATTCTTGCTCGTGCTGTTTCTGCTGCTCCTCCTCCTCCTCCTCCTCCTCCTCCTCCTCCTCTTCCTCCTCCTCCTCCCTCGTGTTATCCCTTCTGCTGCTGCTCTCCTTCTTTCTCCTCCTCCTCCTCCTCCTCGTCCTCCTCCTCCTCTTCTCCTCATTGCTCCCCTTCATGCTCCTCCACCCCTGCTTCTCCACCTCCTCCTCGAGGAGGTCGTAGAGGGAGTTTTGGGGCTCAGTGGCCTTTTTACTTTCTGCTCGCCCTCCTCCCCAACCTCACTATTCCGATTCCCCTCCTACGTCCCCCCGCCTAGCGTTCTTATTAGTACCCCTCGTTCTACACCCACAAGTCCTCATACTTCTCATCCTATTCATTTTTGTTTCTTGCAGTGGTCCTCCACTCCGGCGTCGCTACGCCACCCACCCTCCTCTTTCTCGTCCTCCCCCTCCTCCTCTTTCTCCTCCTCCTCCTCCTCCTTCCCCCGTCCTCTGGGCGCGGTCTCCTGCAGCGGTTGCCTGGCTGTACCGGCTCTGCCAGGAGGCGCTCGCTGGGTTGGGCTTCCCTGACGGCTTCAACCACGGGCTGCTGGTGCTGATTCCGAAGAGCGGGGAGGCGTTCAGCGCCTCGGAGGTGGTGCGACGGCCTGGAACGCTAAGGCCGCTCATGTTGCTCAACACGGACAGGAAGCTGATCGCGACCGTGGTCAACCACGAACTCGCCGTGGTGGCGAGGAAGGAGGCCTCGGCGGTCCAGCATGGGTTCGTACGCGGCAGGACGTTCATCCCGAACATCATCAAGCTGGACCTGACGGCGCGCACCTTCAGCGCGCTCAGTGAGACGAAGGGCGGGCATCCCGCGCTGATCACGTTCGACGTGAAGGCGGCGTTCCCCAGCGTCAGCCGCCGCTGGATGATGCTGGTCCTGGACAAGTGCGGCCTCTGCGAGTCCGTGAGGACCCTGATCGCCGCCATGTACGACAAGCAGGTGGCATGGCTGAGGGTGGGAGAGGACCTGCTGGAGGCCTTCACGGTCACGGCGGGAGTGGCGCAAGGATGCCCGATGTCGGGCTCGCTCTGGGCATTGCTCTTCTCGCCCGTCCTGGAGCACATGGCCTACGTCCTGGACATGCCGTGGCGGTGGGAGTCCTGGAAGCCCGAGCAGCCCATCGTGCAGCGCAAGGGCGATGTGGAGGGCTGCGCGGACGACGTGGGGATGGTGCTCCGCGACCTGGCCCTGCTGACGCTGATCGGCCCGATCTTCCTGGCGATGCAGACGCTGGCATGCCTGGAGCTCAACCTGTCCAAGTGCTACCTGGTACCGCTCTGGGCGCCGATCACGGAGGCGCTCGTGGTCTTCGTGAAGAGCGTGCTCGAGGCGAGCGCCGCGGGCTGGTCGGGCTTCTCGGTCGCCTCCATGGCGAAGTACTTGGGCTGCTGGCTGGGGCCAGGTGCCGACCTCGCCAGACAGTGGCACGACCCTGCGGCCAAGTACGCGGCGAGGACGCGGGCGCTGGGCGCTAGTGCCCTCTCCAACGACGCGGTGGTCCAGGCGTACAACGGGCTGGCGATCCCGTGCCTGCTCTACGTGGCCATGCTGTTCCCGATCCCCGACACGCTCGTAGACAAGGAGCTGGACCTGCTGCACGTGCTGCTGCGCGTGCCGCCGAAGTCGTTCAGGAAGGACTGCCTCTTGTCCCTGGGCACCTCCCTGGGCGTCACGGCGCCGCTCTCCCTCTTCGCCTCGGCGGCGGCTGCGAGGATGAGGGCGGCGATCAAGCTACCGAGGGACTGGCTCGTCCTTCTCGAGGGCGTCGAGAGCTTCTTCATGGAGGTGCAGGGAGAGGCGCTGATCAGGTTGGCGGACTTGCCGACGGGCCTCTTCACGCCAGCGTGGTGGCGAGACCGCCGTGGACCCGCGCGTCACCTCAGGGACGCCTTGGAGTGCCGGACCCCGACCAGCAGGCCCAGGAATCGTCATCGAGTGGAAGCCTGCCTGCGAGCCGCGAAGAGGCGGACGATGGCAGCGGAGGCGGCCTGGCTGGCACAGGCCCATCGTGAGCGGAGGAAAAAGCGGTTCTCCTTCCAGTCCACCCTCCGCTCCATCCTGTCGTCCCTCCTCTTCCTAGATTCCTTTCCCGTCACCTTCAGGAAGAGGCTTTGTGCGTGGCAGGTACGTGCGCCCGCCACCCGAGTGTTGGCGCAGAGATGGGAGGCGCTGAAGAGCGTCCTCCGAAATAAAGGGAGGGGGGTGAGGTGGGCGGCGATTAAAGTCATGTGTGGAGCGTGGCCTACAGTGGCCAGAATGCATGTCACGAGCACCCGTGCGGCTCCCTGTAAATTCGGCTGTGAGAATGGAGCTGACACGATGTCCCATTATCTGAGGTGTCGGCACCTGTGGTGGGCTGCCTGTTACCCTCGGGAATTTTGTTCGAGTTCTGTTTTAATGAAGCTTTGTCTTGGGTCCCCCCGTGACCATGCCTCGACCCCCGATGATTCGCTCGATCGGTCGGTCTTGAGGCTTAGCCTGACGCACCAGTTGCACGCAATCATTTCGGCGCATCCTGGTTCTGGGCCACAGCACTTACTTCGTTGCCTGGAAGCCGCACGTGCACGCACGGGTAGGTAGGCGACTCTTCCTCTGGAGCGACGTTCGCTCCTTCCCCCGTCCTCCCCTTCCTCGGTCTCCCCTCCTTCTCCTCCTCCTCCTCGTCCTCCTCCTCCTCCTCGTCTTCCTCCTCGACCTACTCTCTCCCGCTTCTCGCTCTCCCCGTCACCACCTTGACGCGTGGGGGACGACGACGACGACGACGACGACAAAAGCAACGAAGTCAAAGACCACGACCACGACCGAGACAACATCAAACAGTTCAAACCGGGTGCTCAGAACCCTCTTCGGCGTCCTCCCTGGCAAGTTTTTCAGCCTAGTGATTCGCGACGGCCTCGGGGACAGGAAACGGGTTCTTGGAGGCCTCCAGTACGAATTTCTCGATCCTCCGTCTTCCCCTTGACCTCCTCTTACTTGAAGAAGACAAATCCATAATCATAAATTTCAACGGTCCGCGCGGATTTCTTGGATCTGCGCTGGACCCCCTGGCGACGCCTGCAGCGCCGCCCCTGCCGCGCTCCGCGCGCCAGGGAGGAGGGTCCAGCGCAGATCCGAGAAATCCACGCAGACCGTCTATGCCGCTTCTTCTTCCTACTTGCGACGACAACGACGACGACGACGCCAGCAGTGACAACGCCCGCCACCAGAGACATTCAGCAGGCATCGCCACAACAAATAGAAATTCATGGCCTCGAACCTTCGAAGTCTCTACGACGACGGAGGCACTTGCGGTGACGACGACGACGACGACGACGAAGGCAACAACGACGACAGCGGCGGCGACGACGTCGTCGTCGTCGTTGTCCCGCCATGCAAGCAGGAGGATGTGGCACACTCTTCTGCAGAAATGGTCATGTGGAATGTGCGAGCACCAACCCAATGTGCCCACGTGTGGCAGCGGCCGGCTAAATGAGCCCACGCCGCCATAGCGTGACATGAGCTGTCCAAGGTTCGATCTGTTGTGCTGTCGTCGTCGTCCGCCGTCGGTCGGTCGGTCGTCGTCCTCGTCCTCGTCCCCAGACCTCCGACCCCGCTCGTCCTCGTCCTCGTCCTCGTCCCCTCGTCCTCGTCCCCAGACCTCGTCCTCGTCCCCTGACACGGGGTCCTTGAAGTTCTGGACCGCTTCCCGGGATTGTTTCTTTCATCTCGAGACGTCTTCGGACGATCATGGGGCCCGGCGAGGGCCCCCATAGGCGTGGAGGCCAGCACGCGGTAGAAACCCTGCCGTTTTGATGTTTTGGCCTCGCTGAGGGTCTGGGGGGGAAAAAACACAGACTGTGGAAACAAAAAAAAACACTGTGGAAACAAAAACAGAAAAAAACAACTAAAAAAAACACAGTGTGTGTTTTTGTGTGCGTGTGTGTGTGTGTGTGTGTGTGTGTGTGTGTGTGTGTGTGTGTGTGTGTGTGTGTGTGTGTGTGTGTGTGTGTGTGTGTGTGTGTGTGTGTGTGTGTGTGTTGTGTGTGTTGTTTTTTGTGTATGTTTTTTTTCCACGTGCTTAGTCGGTCGCCGGCGGGGCCGGCGGCGCGTGCCCTGCGGCGCGCCCGGCCGTTAGGCTCCGAGTACCGGGGCAGCCGGCTGTCCCTCGACCGGCAGGACCCCCGCGCGGAGGCGGAGGAGCCCAGCGGCACAGGCGCGCCCCGCGGGCGTCCGCCGCCCGCCGGCGCCTCCCCCCGCGCCCTGGCATCGCTCGGACGTGTGCATTTTTCTCTCGGCGAGGAGCATCGAGGAGCATCCTTGATCATTTGGCAAAAAAAAAAAAACACGAAACCGCAAAAAAACACAGGGAAGGGACGTCCGAGCGATGGCGAGGCGGCGCGTGTGGGAGCTCGAGCGGGAGGAGCGGCAGGAGGAGCGGGAGGAGGAGGAGGCTCCTGTGGGCGGTCAGGTCTTGCTTCGAGGCCCCTCTTGGCGCCCCAGGAAGAGTACTCGAGCGGGGGGGAGGGAGGAGGAGGAGCGGGAGGAGAAGTGGGAGGAGGAGGAGGCTCTTGTGGGCGGTCAGGTCTTGATTCGAGGCCCCTCTTGGCGCCCCAGGAAGAGTACTCGAGCGGGGGGGAGGGAGGAGGAGGAGCGGGAGGAGGAGCGGAAGGAGGAGGAGGAGGAGGCTCTTGTGGGCGGTCAGGTCTTGATTCGAGGCCCCTCTGTGGCGCCCCAGGGAGAGTACTCTCGAGCGTGGGGTCCTGCGCCCGGTGGCCGCTACAGGCTCTCTCCCTGTCGAGGGCCCTGCCGACGCCGGCGCGCTGGCTCGGGACGCCCTCCTCCTCCTCCTCCTCCTCCTCCTCCTCCTCCTCCTCCTCCTCTCCTCCTCCTCCTCCTCCTCCTCCTCCTCCTCCTCCTCCTCCTCCTCCTCCTCCTCCTCCTCCTCCTCCTCCTCCTCCTCCTCCTCCTCCCCCCCCGCCGCAGGAGCGGGAGAGCGGGAGGGGGACGGGAGGACGGGACGAAGCGGAGAGGGCAGAGGAGGATCGACGATCGAGGTTCTTTTGTGGTCTTTTGGGCTTGCTGGGCCTGTGGCCTCGGAGAGCCTCCGGATGCTTCCCGGAACCGAGATCACGAGGGGAAAGAACACGCAGACACAATTATTCGGCGATCCCCAAGAAAACATGGGAAAATATGGGAAATGGGGGGGAGACGAAAACCCAGAAAATATGGGGAAATATGGGGAATCCTTTTATTTGTGTCTATTTACTTGTGTGTCCCTGGGCCCCTCCACCAGAGGCCTCTGGAGGCCTTCGATCGGAGACCTCTGAGAGGAGGAAGGGGAGGAGGAGAATCAACAGAGCAAGACCACAGCGATCGCCAGCCATGCTGCAGCACACCGTTCGGACTCGATCCCACTCCCCACGAGTCCCCACAGGCATTCCTGGCGCGACGTCGGGGGGCGGGTCCTCGAAAGTCGAGCGCTCTTCGGCCTGGCATTCGGTGGAGAGCCCTGTTTCGAGAAAGGACGAAATTCTTGGGGAGAAGAGCAATGCCCCCGTCCCCCATCCGAGCACAGTCGGACCGAGGTATAAGCTCGAGGTCGGTTCGGGGAGGGTGCCCTAGTGTTCTTCGTGCTTGTTGGATAAGATTGTGCATCCTGGGGATGGGTACCCTTGGATGTTCTGTGAGTTTTTGCCGCCGGAGGGCCATGCGTTCTTGAAGGATGCTCTCCGGTCATAGGCCCGACTGCAACTGAGCATGAGGAAGTCTCAAGCCAGACCTCCAGCTTGGAAGCCGACGGGCTCCCCGTCCCTGCAGCCCCCCGTCCCGCATCGGAGTAGCCGTTGCAGAAGTACGCCTGGAGCTCATGTAACTGACCATTAAAACTAAGTCGGGCCTGTCCCCCTACAGGGGGAATGTTCAAAAATAGTAAAACAAAGAGTCCGGGGACGATCTAATGAGAGAAAGTGCCAAAAGAACCTTGGGGTTCTTTTGGCCCCCTCCCTGCTCATTCATTTGTAGTGAGAAAACAGTGGGACAGAAAGTACGGATGCATATGAGGAAGGAGGGGAAGATGGATGAGGAGGAGGAGGGAGGGAGGGAGGAGGAGGAGAAGAGGAGGAGGAACAGGAGGAGGAAGAGGAGTAGGGCGAGGAGGAGGAGGAAGAGGAGGAAGATGAGGAGGAGGGCGAGGAGGAGGACGACGACGACGATCAGGAGGAGGAGATGGAGGATAAGGAGGAGCAGGGAGATGGAGGGATGAGGATGGAGGAGGACGGAGGAGGGGGAGAACAAGGAGGAGGAGGAGGAGGAGGAGGAAGAGAAGGAGGAAGGAACATGGAGGAGCAGGAGTAGGAGGAGGGGGAGGAGGGAGGAGGAGGAAGGGGAGGACGAGGAGCAGGAGTCGGAGGAGAAGTCGGAGGAGGAGAAAGAGGAGGAGGAGCAGAATCGTCCGCGCTCAGAGCAGATGCAGAGGACGTTTCGAACGATTTGCCTGAATCTCCCCCTGTGGCCTCTCATGGGCCGCAACAGCTCGCAACATGACAAGCCCATGGTACCACCCGAAGACCCAAACCCTATAGACCTCTGAGCTTTATCCAGCCGCTGCGACGAGGAGGTCGGTCCTGGACGAGGTTCAAACCAGACAGGAGGGGCCAAACACGTTTCCCTAAGTTCTCCCCTGCCCGCAGCCCACCTGTATTTTGTGGCGTCAGCTTGCAGACGCTCCAGTGGCCAACTTGTGATTCAACCTGAATGGTTCAGCGGCTAATCTCGGCAAAACCGTGTTTCAGCAATTGATTCTATCGGACTTGGACCGTCCCAGAGAGCTTGACAAATATGCCAAAGAAAATGGAATCAAGCTTCGCGAACATACGGTCAAGCATGTGACGACATTGGAAGACTACGGGGCGAAATGCCCAATTGGAGGGGCCTCTGGATTCTGCAAGATAAGTTTTATATGCTACACGGACGCGATCAGCGACGACTGCAAGTACGGAGTCGTATCCTGGGGGTCGCCGCGTTGGGGCGTAGCAACCGACGGATCGAAGCAAGGATGGAAACCACGCAGCGGATTCAAGATGAATGCCTTCGAATCAATGAGCTGGCTTTCAGGAGGAACGCTAACCATGCTCACATACCATAAGTCGTGCGACGTAGAATTCTGGAACCCGTGCTACCCGGGCCCAAGGGGCAAGGAAGACGCCCGAGAGCCCAGAACGCCAGTGGTCATGCCAGCGCGCTTCAGAACATACAAGCCTCTTGCTAGCGGAGCCGAATACAACGAACCAGATGGTGGAGACAATGCCAAGGTCGCTTGCTTGGTGCCAACAAGGTTTCGCGAAACGTTCACTTACAAAGACGACAGGCTCGACGTCGGCAATACTCTACTTCGGGCAATGGGACCTATGAGCTCCAATGGGTACGCTATCGAACTCGGTGGCCAAACGTTCAGCCTCGCATACGAGATCCGCCTCGCGAAATTGCAGAGTCTATTCGGAGAGCTATCCTCAGATCCAGCAGCGGCGGCCAGGTGTCAGGCGCGCCGCTGGCAGCCGCGTTTGTATATCATGCTGGAATTGAACAACTGCTGCGGTTAAGGATGTTTATGGGTTGGGCACAAATTCTTTTGTGGTTCTTCTGGCTTTAGACGGCGACGCGCTATGATTCCAAGCTGTCGGTTGGCCATCGTGTTATTGTTCTTTTCCCATACCTTCGTTGCCGCCCTAGGTCCTAAGCTGGCTGCTTGCCAGATCTCCCAAAGTAGCTGCTAGCTACCGCGCACTTCGCGCCCCTGCAGCGAAAAAAGATGGTTCCCCGAGTGTGTTCGCAATTGGTTGAACGCGCGGGAGACGAAGAAGACTGGCTGAGGATGAATTTGACGGGGGAAGTACGATTATATGCCCCTTTCAACATGAAGATGTTTAGGTTTGGACGTCATCTCCGCCGTCTCCACGGCGCTCGCAGGCCCCGCGGTGAACGCAATAATTTCTGTCGTTGAAGCGTGCGTAGGACAACAAGGGCGCGAAGGGGAGAAATGACGAATGACGCGAAGGGGACAGTCGTGGCCCAAAGAAACCAGCAGGTTCCTTTGGGCCCCTGTAAGTTGGGGTATTTTCTATTATTTCAAATTTGTCGTCCAAAATCCCTCTGCCGGTGGACAGACCCGACCTGACATTAGGAAGTCTCAAGCCAGACTTCCAGCTTGAAAGCGGCCGGCACTTCGCCCATGCAGCTGCCGCAGTCTTGCGGACGCCTGCGCGTGCGTGGGGCCACGGCCAGTGGCGCATGTTGCCTTTGCGAGTTTAGTGGCGGATGTGCGTGGCGCCAAGGCCTTGGCATCACCGGGCCAATGCACTTGTTTCCCGCGAGGACCGTTTAGCAAACAACAACATGCGCCACACAGAAACATGCACGGAAGGGACGTCCGATCGATGGCAAGAGGTTGGTCCACATTCCTGAACGGGTCGCCTGCCATCCTTAGAGTGACAAAGAGTGAGCGCTTCAATATCATGGGCTGTGAGAGTATCCGGGCCGAGACGCTGGCTCGAGCTACGGGCACGTCTGTCTGATAGCGGGACTTGAACAAGCTCATTCCAGCACAGAGGGACGCAGGACATGGGAAGAGCATGGATACTCCAGGGTGGTTCCAGAAGCTTTATGGGATTCTACAGGATGTCAGGGGATTTCAAGGGTAGGCATATGAGCAGGAAGACGGCGAATACGGCGACGACGGCAGATACGAGGAGATGGAGCAGGATGAGGACAGTGGTCACGTGAACTTACAGATGTCGTGAGAGGGCTGAGGAGGGTCGAATACTGACGTCGACCACGAGGAGGGAGGAGGTTGAGAGTGGGGAGAAGGAGGGAAAAGAGGAAAGTCGAAGGAGGAAGAGGAGAGGAGAACTGGAGGAGAAGCTTGGGAAGGCCAGTAAGGAATATCACACGGATGAGAGGTGTGCGAGGAGGGAATGGCGGGGGGATTGGACGAGGCCCCTCAGGTTTCTGGATGCATCCAGAGGCCCTCAGACTCCCAAAATGGCCCAATGGCATGCAAGAGCTTCAATTTCCTACGACGTCGACAAACACGACGGCGAGAACGACGAGCATCGACGACGACCCCGACGACCACGAAAACGACGATGACGGCCGGGGAATCGGTGACGACGACAACGATGACGGCCTCGACAATGTAGACGCCAACGACGGTGATGGTGACGACGACGACGACGACGACGACGATGATGATGATGATGATGATGATGATAATGATGATGATGATGATGATGATGATGATGATGATGATGATGGTGATGGTGATGATGATGCTGCGGATGATAATGATGATGTTGATGATGGTGGTGATGGTGATGATGATGATGGTGATGACCACCACGACGACGATGACGAAAACGATGATGACGACGACGACGACGACGACCACGGCGACGACGACGACGTCGACCATGGACACGACAACGACCACGACCACGGCCACGGCCACGGCCACGGCCACGGCCATGACAACGGCGACCACCACGTGTGCTACGACGACGACGACGATGACTACCATCACGACCCCCCCTGGCCAGGCATCCGCGCGGAGGCGCCGAGGATGATGGGCCCGGCGGCCTTCATGCGGCCCCCCGCAGCGCCGGTGCTCCGCCGTCGTCGCGGACGCCGCCGTCGCTGCCGTGGCCGCCGCCGTCGTCGTCGCCGCCATCGCCGCCGCCGCCGTCGCCGTCGTCGCCGCCGTCGACGTCGTCCTCGCCGTCGTCGTCGCCGTCGTCTTGGCATCGAGTCCGCGCCGGCGTGGAGGCCTCGAGTTTCCGATGCGTTTGGGGGGCGCTCTTTGCGGCCTGGGCGCACGGATAGAGCGAGCCTCGAACAGGGCAAACCCTCCCCGACTTGGGGGACAGCCCTCGGGACAGCCTGGGTACTCCGGATTCCGTAATAAAGTAGGGGGGGTACATTTGGCGGGGGGGGTCTGATTTGAGCTGTCTTGAAGGGTTAGGGGGGATCTGGGCAAAGTGCCGCCCTTTCATGGATGGTCTGGGGGGGTCTAAAACTTGTGGTCTGGGAGGGTTGTGACCCCCTCCCTTTTATTACGAAATTTGGGTAAGGATGCGCGCCCCGTGGCAGGCGGGGGACAGCACAAGTCCTTCAACCTGCGAGGACAGTCAGCACCAAGGAGGCTTGTGGCAACCACAGGTGCTTTCACTCGCCTCCACCGGCAAATGACAGGCACATCCTGAACAAAAAGGTTGGTGATCGGTTGCTACAACTCGTGAAATTCTCATGCGCTCTTTTGGCGCCAGCTCTTGCCACAACTCATGGACACCCGCAAGCTGCTCGCGACGCATGCGCACTACTGGGTGTTCTTTCGTGGGACAAGCCAGAGACAGAATCGTGGTGCTGCAACTCCTGGGGCCTCCGAAACACCCGCGGCTTGTGGGGGAAAATCATAGGGGTTTCGGTTTGGATTTTGGCAATGATGCGGTGACCCAGAGTGAGCCTGGGCGCGAGGAGACGATGCAGTCCATTTCGGGAAAAGACATGCCCGACTTGGGGGGAGACCACGATTGAGGCGAGACAGCGCCTCCCTTCCCTTTGACGTGTGGTGCTCACTTGGGCATTCACGCCGTCGGGACTTATTCGACTGAGAGCTTCCTTGCATCATCACATGCATGAGCTCCGCAACTGTGACAATACAACACCCCCTTCATCATTACTAGCGAAAGAGCGTGGTATACCGCTGCTGGCGGAAAACTGGAGGGGGGTCACTACCGGTTCGAACCCCTCCCCCCCCCCCTCCGGAAAACCGGGGGGGGTCACTACCGGTTCGAACCCCTCCCCCCCCCCAGCTCATCATGAAAAGGGGGGGGGGTCACTACCGGTTCGAACCCCCCCCCCCCACGAAATACAGGGGGGGGTCACACCGGTTTCGAACCCCCCCCCCCCATCGAAAACCGAGCTGGGGTGCGGACATGGTGGGGCGGTGTTGGTGTGGGACAGGGGTGAGGGGACAGCGGGACAGTGGTGAGGGGATAGCGGGACAGTGGTGGGGACAGTGGGACAGTGGGACAGTGGTGGGGACGGTAGTGGTGGGGACAGTGTGGGGACAATGGTGGGAACAGGGGGGGACAGTGGACAGTGGTGGTGACGGTGGTGGTGGGGACAGTGGTGTGGGGACAATGGGAATGAGGTGGAAACAGTGGGACAGTGGAGGGTACAATGGTGGTGGGGACAGTGGTGAAGGCGGTGGCGAGGACGGCGGTGGGACAAAGGGACAGAGGTACAGTGGGGACAGTGGTGGGGACAGTGGGGACAGTGGTGGGAACAGTGGGACAGCTCAGTGGGACAGCGGAGGAGTCAGTGGAACAGTGGGGACAGTGGGGATAGGCAGTGGTTGGGTCCGTGGAGACAGTGGGGAGAGTGGAACGAACCGTGGTGGGAACAGTTGTGGGAACAGTGGGGACAGTGCGACAGTGGTGGGGACACTGGTGGGGACAATAGGGACGGTGGTGGAACCAGCGGGGGCAGTGGTGGTGAGGACAGTGGCGCTGGGAACAACAGTGGGGGATGTCATGCGAGCGGTGGTAGGGACCGGGAGTCGTTTGCTGG